GGGGGGGGGGGGTGAGGCACCTGAGCTGGGTCTCAGAGGCTTTGGCAGGTTCTGGCCCCCAGGACTTTGTGCTCCTGGTTGTCAGGCCTGGAATCTGCCTCCTGCCCACCTCCAGCCTGGTTGTTCATCTGTCTGTGGCCAAGGGGCCCTTCCGGAACTTTCCATAGGAGGGAGTGTCTGTGTTGGGGGCAAGGGGGCCACGGCTGAAGAGCCCTAACTCCCAGCTTACTTGATCCCATGGTGTCTGCCCGCAGGGGGACCCCATTCCTGAGGAGCTCTATGAGATGCTGAGTGACCACTCGATCCGCTCCTTCGATGACCTCCAGCGCCTGCTGCACGGAGACTCCGTAGGTAAATTGAATCCTCATGTGCTGCCCTGGGCCTCCAGAGTCCCTGGGAACTGGGAGCCGGGAGGGGCAGGGCAAGGGCCATCCCTTCTTCCCTGACGTACGGAGAACCGGAGGCTGTGGCGGCCCAGGGAGGGCTCCGCCACACCTGTCTGGGGCAGGGCTGAGTAGGCAGACGGGTTGGTACCTGGGACATGGGGCGTGGCAGGAGAAGCACCCACATGTGTCTCTGGCTTGGTGGAGAGGGTGGGACGCCCGGAGGGGGTGGGCAGGGAGAAGATGCCCAGGGCATCTGCCCAATGAGTATCCAGGTGTGAACTCAGGCAGGGAGGGTGGTGCTGGAGGAGCCGTCTCCCTGCCCCTCTGGCCCGGGGCCAGCTCCGCAAGGTCTCCTGGGGACACCTGGCCCAGACCAGCAGGCTGCCCTGCCCGTGCCCAAGAGCACACTCATCGAATGGGCACGTGCTCGGTGGCACACACGTGGCGGGGCTGGCGGTCTGGGTGGGGAATGTATTTATAAACGCTGTCTTCAGAGCAAATTCCATTCTATTCTAACCTCTGGCCTGTTCCCTGGAGCCCTGGTCATCACCCCCCTGCACCCCCAGCTCCCCTTCCCTCTGGGGTTTTGTCTCTTTGTCACTTTGTAATCCTTGCCCAGACTGCTATCTACGGGGGACAGCATTTCCTGCCTTTGTTTCCTCTCCCTGTCGGGCCCCTGGCTCCCTCTCAAAAGCATTCCCGGGCCCTTTCAAACCCGCCTGTGCTGGAGGCTGGTGAGGCAGGCGGGAGGGGGCCCCAGCTGGGCCCACCTATTGTTCAGCAGGCCCCCCGCCCGATGTCTCCCACACCCCCACCCCATGCCCGGCTGGCCAGCCCTGGCCAACACAATGGGGCAACTTCCAAATTTAGCCTTTCTGCCATTTCTTTCCAAGGGCCTTCACCCCCACCCTTGGACAGCCCCTCCACGCCCCGGGTGGGGGTCGGGCTCAGGGAGACGAGGTTTTCAATAGCAAGCCTGTTTCGAGGCAACCATGTGGCTATTTTTTCCTAATCGACTTAACCTTTCCACAAAACACATCTTTTCCCCATGTCCTCCCCACCAGGGACATTCCAGAGATGGCGGAGAGAGAGGAAGGGAGCCAGAGGACAGACAAACGCGCTGATGTGGGACAGTAGGCTAGACGGAAACGCAGCAGTTACAGGACAGTCTCCTTCAAGCAGGACCCCTTGGGAGCCTGCAGGGATGAGCAGGGCCAGTGGGAGGCGCAGCCCGAGGTGCTGCGTGGAGGAGGCAGGAACCGGTGCCGACACCTCTCAGTTTATTTGCTGGCTTGCAGCCACCAGAGAACTAGACGAGTCTGCCCACCAGTCAACAGCAAGTCAAGTCCTCCTGCCCAACCCTCACCTCCAGCAGCCAGCTTCTGGCCATCTCTCTAGAGAGAGATGTCTTCAAGGGGCGCTGATAGCACTGAGATGAGGGCTTCCCAGCTAGAGAAGGGAGCTGTAGCTGGGACTTTAGCAATAAATAGACAGCTTAGGACAGACATGGGGCAAAAGGTTAGAGGGGGAGAGACAGAAACACAATGAGAGGCTGGGAGGTAGAGAGAGACCAAGATCTAGAAGGGCACTGGGTGAGGCCCCCCTATCCCAGCAGCCCCGGCTCCCCACCCCTCTGCCTTCAGCCCCCACCCCCGTTGCTCTCCCTCCCTCCTGCCCAACTGGGCCATTGTCAGGGGCTCCAGAGGGGCTGTGTCCCGGGCATGCTGGTTCCCCCTGGGGATTCTGGGAATTTCTCCATTCAGCACTTCCTATGGGAACGCTGGGCGGAGGGGCACTGGAAAGTGGCCTTCAGAGCTCTGGGCCTTTGCCCTGCCCTGGAGGCCGAGGAGGGTTCGCTTACAGTAGCAAAGGGAAGAGTTATTTTTAACTCCATTGACATGGGTTCTGTCCAAAAATGTGACCGAAGAGCCCAGAATGGGGCTGAAGCCCCACCCCCTCCTAGGCCCCATGGCCACCTGGGGTTTGCCTGGAGGGCCCCTCCTCAGAGCTAGGACCTCAGGTTTACTGGGGGCAGGAAGGGGAGTCTGTTCTCTAGAGTGGGGTCCTGGTGAGGGGTGAAAGGTAATCCTTCCTGCCCGAGTCCCCATTGGAGCCCCCACCCTGTGGTCAGGCCAGCCAGCAGTTTCCAGGGTGCATCTGACTGTGCCTACTGTTGCAGATGAAGAGGTAGCCGAGCTGGACCTGAATTTGACCCAGTCCCATTCTGGAGGCGAGCCACAGAGCTTATCCCGAGGGAGAAGGAGCCTAGGTAAGACTGAGGGTGAGAACGGGGCGGGGCCCCTGCAAAGGTGGGAGCCAGGGAGGGAAGACTGGGGCATGCAGCCTGCCCAAGGCTGCGAGGGTCCACTGCGTCTGTCCCACACTTAGGACTGAGTTGACCTAAGAGACGATAATATCCTTAAATACCTTATATTAAGTTGGGTCACCACCTTCCAGCACACGCTGTTTCTTAAATATGCTTTTAAACTTATTTTCATTACTTCAACCCTAGAAATAGATATTATTAACCCCATTTTATAGAGTTGGAACCTGAAGCCCAGAGAGGGTAGAGAAGTGGGCTTGGTCACACAGCTAACAAGTAGTAGAGCTGGGATCCCAGCAATGCTTCTCAGTTGAACTCAGTGCCCTCCTGGCTGTGTGTCTCTGCTGTGACCGAGGGCTGTGGCCTGGGACAGCAGGATGGAGCAAAGCCTGGGGCCTGCTTCTTGCTCTATTGCAGAGACCAAAGGACAGTGTAGATTATTAGGTCCCATGGAAGCCTTCCCAGGAAAGGCAAGTGCCCACTCTTCCCACCTGCAGTCCCCAAATCGCTGTAGATAGTGCCTGGGGGACCTCCAGATATGAGCTGGTGTCTTGGGTTCCACTCCTCGCTCTGCAAATTGGGGCAGCTAATTCAGCTGTCAGAGCCTCAGTTTCTCTATATGGGAATAGTGACAAGCCCAGCGTTGACTGTATGCTTGCTGTAGGCCAGGTGTCACTCACACCACCCCTTAGGTCCGCAAGTGCTGTGTAGGTTGTTGTTATCCCATTTCATAGATGAGGAAACAGGGGCTTTGAAAGAAGCAACAGTGTATGAAAAGATTACAGTGTAAAACAGCAAGGTAAAGCACTTACAAGATGGTATTTCACGAGAAGGGCCACATGTTGGGCCAACCCATGAGCATGTGAAATCACGGAGGGAAGTGGGTGAGGGCTGGCGGGAGGATGCTGACATTTACAACATGCCAGCACCCTCTGAATGATCCCGCTTGATCCTAGCAATGGTTCTTGGGTGTAGATCACCCTCATTTACACATGGGGAAACTGAGGCTTAGAGCCTATCAGCAACTGCTCAAGTCCCACAGCTGATAATAGCCAGGACCCAAAACCTCTCCTGAGCTGGAAGAGGGAATTGGCCACTTAGGAGGAGAATGGTCCCAGAGGTGCCCTGCTGTACTTTCCTTCCAGGTGGGGGCTCTAGGCAGGCCCTGCCTCCTGACAGAGGCCCCCTCTCCCCTCAGATTCCTCAACAGTTGCCGAGCCCGCCATGATTGCCGAGTGCAAGACACGCACGGAGGTGTTCAAGATCTCCCGGAGCCTCATCGACCGCAGCAACGCCAACTACCTGGTGTGGCCGCCCTGCGTGGAGGTGCAGCGCTGCTCCGGCTGCTGTAACAACCACAAGGTGCAGTGCCGCCCCACCCAGGTGCAGCTGCGACATGTCCAGGTGAGCAGCACCTCCCCGCCTCTGCACGGCCCAGCTGCTGGCCAGGCTGCCCTGCCGGGGCTGGGACGCACTGACCAGGCTTCTGGATGGGTCGGAGGGCTTTCCTGGCAGGCTGCTGGGCTCTGTCCAGGGAGGGCACTCAGGAAGCTCTTTGGACATTTGTGCTGAGGTTGCTGTGACCAAAAGCCATAGGCAGACCCCAAGGCAGGCTGGGTGTGAGATGTTAAGTAAAGGATGCTGCCTTGTCCTTTACAGGGATAAAATCCCAAAATGTCTCTTGAAGGGACATGTTCTGGGCAGCTGCTCAGGTTCCCCCAAAGCTCTCCCCTGTCCTGGCCCGTCGGTTTTCTTTATTTCGCAGAGAAAGGCTCCCCTGTGTCTGTAACGCCCACTCATCTCCCTTTGACAAGCTGTGTCTTTAATAAGGAGGGTGCAGAGACCAGACCAAAGGCACCACAGTTGGGGCAGCCCTAGCAGAGTCAGAACGCAGAATCTGCCTCTTCTCGGGAAATACTGGGTGTCCACTCTGACTCGAGGGATTTTAGAGTCGAGGCCATCCTGGGGAGCTCCTGATTGCAGGCCGGGCAGAGCAGTGTCAGAGGGGTCTCAGCTGTCTTCTGACTTATGTGGAAAGGTTTCTGCACCCCTCGGGCCAGCCTCACCCGCACGCCAGCTCAGGCTGGGCCAAGCCGCTGAGAGCTGCTGAGCGGTGGACACACCGAGGGCCCAGGGGCTGGTATTCTTGCTGAATACTCTGCGGCTTCACCACGCCCCCTTCCCTTCCTCGTGCCCACCTCCCATCCCAGGCCTGGGCCCCGTGCCCGAGATGACGAGTGTCACTCTCCACCACACCGCCCACCCTCATGGTATCTCCTGTCCCCAACACTTTCAGCTCTGTAGATGGACACCTGACAGCTGACCTCCCCCTTCCCGCCTCCCTCCTGGATAAAGCCTCCCCCCACTTCCTTCCAGACAACCATCTCCCCGCCTCTGCCACAGCCCCTGACCTTGGCTGGCGCTCCAGGAATGAGGACACCGCGGGCCCCACGCTCTGCCCGGAAATGCCTTTCTCCCGCTCTGGGGGTGCCGAGGGGGCTGTGGCCAAGCCGAAGGCCAGGTTGGGAGGGCTTGTTTTGATGGAAAAGCTACGAGAAGGGCAGAGGCCAAGGTCCTGCTATTGTTCGGGCCACAGTGTCTGCCCTGCTGCTCGCAGCTCTCCAGGCTTTCTAGGAAAGATCCCTGCGGGGGATGCTGGGGTGGGAAGAGCAGGCAGGTGGCTCCCTCAGCCCCTTCCCACGAGGTCTTACAGAGGCACTTGGGTGGTTCTGTCTTCCAGGTGAGAAAGATTGAGATCGTGCGGAAGAAACCGACCTTTAAGAAGACCACAGTGACCCTGGAGGACCACCTGGCATGCAGGTGTGAGACAGTGGTTGCTGCACGACCTGTGACCCGAAACTCGGGGAGTTCCCAGGAGCAGCCAGGTAACTGTCCAGGGTGTGCCTCTGATTGCTCAGCCTGGCGGCCCCTTCTCCCGTGGCTGCCTTTCCTCCCTCAAAAGTTTGCAGCGAGGCCCTGGCAGGTGTGGCTCAGTTGGTTGGGTGTTGTCCCATGCACTGAAAGTCGCTAGTTTGATTCCCAGTCAGGGCACATGCCTGGGGTTGCGGGCTCGATCCCCGGTAGGGACGTGCAGGAGTGAGCCAATCGATGCTTTGCTCTGACATCTATGCTCCTCTCTTTCCCTCTAAAAAAAAAAAATCAATAAAAATATTTTTTAAAAAGTTGCAGTAAGGATCAAATGAGAATCATTAAGTTAATATGATTAGATGAACATAAAAATATCACCCAAGTTATCATTTTGATTTTCAGTAACTTTCTGTTGTTAGGGGACAGAACAGTGCCACTATTATTTCTTATTAACAAGCCTCATGAAGGCAGGGCCGCCTCTTAGCCTCTTTGTCCAGTTCTCAGAGCCCAGCAGAGGCCTGGATGCCCTGGGGAGGCTGATAATTTGACAGCTCCAAACTGACGTGTTGTGAATTATTTATAGAGTTAACATGGAGAATGACTTTTCTATCCAGGAAAAATTCTATTCTTTATGTTTAGAGTGGGGGTTTTTCACATGCATTGTTTCACATGATTTTCCAAAGCAGTTTCTTGGGAGGCATGTCAAACCGGTTAGTATATAGATAAGGTCTTGCCATTTCAGATTTAGCATTTTTGTCCCCGTGGGACAGTACTTCTGGCAGCTGTCCCCAGCTGGGCTGAGGCCTGGTGGTGTGGCCCATGTGATGTGGTGGTCAATGTCAGACCTCTGGCCTCAAATCTCTGCTCTACCTCTTGTGAGCTGTGTGACAACCTTGAGCTGGCTCAGGCTTTGCCAGCCGTGTCCTGCTGGTGGCCTGGTCTCTGGAAGGGAAACTCCAGGCCCTTCAGTGGCTCTCCTGGTGCAAAGGCCCTGAGTCCCTGAATCGCAGAGACGGGGTAACTGCCTCATGGGAGTTTGTATCTTTGAGGTGAAAGGTTAGGTGTTGGCCCCAAAGAGCCAAATGGGCCAGGGAGAACTCAGAAGTCTCCAGGAAGAGAGGAGCCTTGAGCTTGAGAGAGAACGTTTTCACTACCCTGATTTACAGCAGAGCGGTTGACAATATGGACTCTAGAGGCAGATCCCTGCTTTAAATCCCAGTCTCTCTGCCTCAGTTTTCCCACCTGTTAAATGGTGATACTTATACCCTCTGTGAGGACAAATGAGCTTAAAACATTGCCAGGTGCATGGTGAGTGCTAGCTAGGAGTTTCTGGCTATTTCCATGTATTATTTGTTAATTCCAGGAGGCCAGGGCTCCTGGCGGCTCAGTTTTAAATATGTGGAAATTGAGGCACAGAATTTACATGGCTTGCCCCAAAGAACACAAACAGTTTGAATCCAGGTGGGCCTGCCCCGCTGTGTTGCTTCTCCAGATGTCGGGGACCAGGCAGGTGACAGGTGCAACCAACGGAAAGGCCCAGCTCTGTGGTGGGGGGTCTGGTTCTGGCCCAAAGCCCATGAGTTCAAGGGGCTGAGAAGTTGGTGGGAAGAAGCCTCAGTGGGGGTCAAGCGGAGGAAATAAGAGAACAGTGAGTAAGAGCAGCTGCAGGTCGCTGATCAAGGCCAACTCTGAACTTTGTAGCAGGGACAGTAGCCATTTCCTTCTCTCTGGTCTGTGGGCTGACGCGGCCCAGCTGGGCAGCTCTGCTGGTATCTCTTGTAGTTGCAGTCAGTCATCTGGAGGCTGCCCTGGGACAGCTGGGCTCTGTCCCTCCCCCTGTCACCTAAGGCCTCTTCTGCCCATGTGGCCTCCATAGCAGGGTAATCAGACTTCTTATGTGGCTGCACAGGGCTTCCCAAAGAGAGAGTGGCCAGGCCTTTTTAAAGCTTATGCCTGGGATTGGCACAGCACCACTCTGCATCCTTTTATTGGTTAACAGATCCAAGTTCAGGCCAGGTTCAAGGGGCCTGGAAATAAAGGGCATGTCAGTGGGATAATGACCAAGAACTTGAAGCTATAAACTATTTCCCCTCTGTTTTTGCCAACATACTGTCATTTATTTCTTCCACTAGTCATATATCGTAGGCAGTCTTATTACCCCCATTTCACAGATGGGGAAACTGAGGCACAGAGTAGTTAGGATAATCATTCCCATGGCACATACAGCTGGTGAGTGGTATAGTTGGGATTGGAACCCAGTCTGACCCCTTCCCTTAACCCAGGGACTCTGGGGAGGCCTGTGACACGCCTTAATGGAGAGGGATAGACCCCGGGGATAGACCCTCCCCCACCCCCACAGTGGTTGTCAGCCTGCTGACAAGACCTTTCTTTTCTTCAAACAGCCAAGATGCCCCAAACTCGGGTGACTATTCGAACAGTGCGAGTCCGCAGGCCCCCCAAGGGGAAGCACAGGAAGTTCAAGCACACGCATGACAAGAAGGCGCTGAAGGAGACCCTGGGAGCCTAGGGGCATGTGCAGGAGAGTGCGGGCAGGTAAGGGCCTGGCGGGGACATGGAGGCCCAGAGCCTTGTGTTTGCTTCTCCCTGGGCTGGGGCTTGGCTGCGGAAGGGGTGAGGGAGAGGCATTTTTCCATACGAAATGCAAGCCCTAAGCCTTGATCCCCTCTGCGCAGCTATCAACTGAGTTTTTCCAAGGGGCAGGTGGGTGGGAGGCTTTGGAGACCCCAGCCCAGCTGTATCCCAGCACATCCTCAGAGGGTGGGTGGGCCATCTAAACCTCAGCTGCCCAGCCCTAGCGCTGCTGGAAGTCAGGGTTGATGGTTGAACCCAGCTCCCTGCGCCTGGCAAGGAGGGCGTGTGCATGCAGCATGGAGCTCCTAGGCTGTCTCTGAGCCCCTGTGTCCCTCTGCTTGCCTTATAGGATTATTTAATATGGTATTTGCTGTATCGCCCCCATGGGGTCCTTGGAGTGATAATATTGTTCCCCTCGTCCGTCTGTCTCGATGCCTGATTCGGACGGCCAATGGTGCTTCCCCCACCCTCCACGCACCCGTCACCCCTCTGCCAGCGGGTCTCCCCTCGGTGACCTCCAGCGTCTTGCCTGGAAGTTTGAGAAGGAAATGAAGGATCTGGACTCCATCAAGGGCTTCCTCCCCCTGACCCCGAGAAACTGGGATAAGAGTGCAAGAGACACTGATGGGGGAAGAGGCTCCCTTCCCCAGTGCCTGGCCAGGCCACCCCTGAGCACTGTGGAAATGGCTCGAAGAACCCTGCCCGCTGCCCTGAGGACCCCCAGCACGGCCTGGTCCCTGGACTCCCAGCCAACTCTGATGGGAATCCCCCAGGCAGGCCAGAGTGCCTCATGCTCCTGTGGCTGAAACCAGGTGGGGGAGCACAGACTGGAGAACCCCTCCCAGAGGTGCCCAGGCCTAGTCACCTCTCCCTGGTCACCTCTGCGCACAGTGGCTCTCTTTCATGTTATACATATGAAATCTTTGAAGATGCGAACTCCTCTGGGCAAGTGTGGCCTGAGTGCCCGGCAGCCAAGTGCCCTCTCAGATGGGTCAGAGATGAAGTTTGCTCTGGAGGGGAGTGTAGATGGTGACCTGGGCATCCACTGCCTCCCCAGCTCCCCTTTCACTTCCTCCTGTTTCATCTCTCTACCTCCCCCCCGCATCTCCCTGTTGTCCTGGTCCTTCAGTCTGCTCCACCAAGGGGAACACCCCTTACTGAGTCTCCTGTGACCCCAGAGACTGCCCCTAGGGCAGAAGACCAGGGCCCAGGGCAGCAGGGGGCCTGCCCATCATATTCCAGCCCAGCCGAGATTGCCATGTGAGGCTGGGCAGGGTGTGCACCGCACAGGGCACTGAGGGCAAGGACCACTGCTCTCATCACAGACATGGCCAGTTTGCGTATTTATTCTGACAGTTTCCTGGCAGGTGTAGGTAAAATGTGCTTTTCCTAATTGACACAAAGGCTCTGTGTGGACTGGCTGTGCCCCTGACCCGGCCCATGGCTTGGAGTGGTCGGACAGAGTGAGCTCATGGAGGGCGGGGAGGTAACACATTGTCCATCTGGCCTTTCTGTCCCCAAGTCCTCAGCTCAAGAAGTCCCCCTTCCAGGCAGGTGTGGAAAACCCAGAGAGTCTCCAAGGGAGGGAGCAGCCCCTGCACACTCCCCTGTCTTAGATCCTTTGAGCTCCACCTCTGGTGGCTCCCGCCGGGGAAGCAGCTCCTGGGCTGGGAGTGGGGAAGAAAGGAATAGATCCCCAGGGCCCTGGGGGTGGGCTCTCAGGTCCCGCCTCCTTCCCATCCTCCACTGCACTTTCCCCTCCCCCTCTCCAAAATCTGCTTCCTTCAGTTTGTAAAGTCGGTGATTATATTTTTGGGGGCTTTCCTTTTATTTTTTAAATGTAAAATTTATTTATATTCCGTATTTAAAGTTGTAAAAAAAAATAACCACAAAACCAAATCAAGTGAATCCACTGGAGATCTGTCTGTTGGCATCATGCGTGGCGGTTACCCTTTCCACGTTGGCAGAATCTGCTGACAGCTTGCTGCGTGCTCCTCTCGCTCTGGGAGGCTCGGCGCACACTCGTGTACACACTCACACATGCGTGCGCACACACATGGGCCTGCTGTTCTGCGGGAAGCCTCCGTCTGCGGGTGGGCAAGAGCCACACAGCCCACTCTGTAGGTCTTGGTGCCGCAGCAGCTCCTGGCACCCAGGTTCCAGGTCTCAGCCTTGTGCCTCGCTGGCAGTGGCCAGAGATGGCTTTCTCCAGCCTGAGGGTCTCCGTAAGGGAAGCAGATCCTCAGCATCACAGAGTTGGACTGGCTGTTGGGAGGGGGTTCTCAGTGTGGGGAAGGCTGGAGGAGGACCCCAAGGGGCTCTGGGATTTAGAAGGAACACAGCTGAGAGTTGGGTCTGCAGTCTGATCTCGGCTCAGCCTGTAGCCAACTGTGTGGCCTTGGGCAAATCACAGCCCCTCTCTGGGCAAAACCTCATTTGAAACACAAGAAGATGACCAGGAGACTGTAGCGTCTAAAGTCCAGCTGTGGGGTTCTGTGCTTTCCTTTGCCTGTGAAGACTGAGGTACCATCCCATAAACAAGATTTTAAAGGTGTTCTGGGTCCCATCTGCAGGCCGACTGGGGCTGATGGGGAAACCCAGGAGGTGGAGAATCTGACATAAGGATGATCTAAAATGGAAACCATTTTGCTTCTTAAGGTAGTGAGCTTCCCGTCACCGGAAGTGTGGAAGTGGAAGCTGGGTGACAATTTGGCCAAGGTTAGACTGAATAGCATTTGGGTTCCCCATTACTGAGCAGTTGGTTGATTGATTGACTCATTCATTCATTCACTCATTCATTCATTCACTCACCTCCTTGAACCCCTAGCAGTTTTTTGCCTCTACCCAGGGCTTTTACAACAATGTGGTTTAAATTCATCCTAGGATTCCTAGCCCTGTGCTAGAGGAAGTGGAGTCTGCCTGTGGGGTGCTGGCTGATGCATCTCAGAAGGGTTTACCTGGAAACTCCTCCCCCTGCCTGCCCAACCCCGTGTCGGACACTCCCCTCTCCACCAAACCCCCAGTGTCCTGGGTTCCTGAGGCTCCAGAGGAGGCACTGGCTGGGAGGAGGAGGGGACAGCCTCGCCGGGAGATGGAAATGAGAGGGCAGCTGGAGAGCTTGCTGTAGGTACTAGAGCAGTGCTCTTCCGAGGCTTAGTGTTTGCCTCCATTAAATAACGAAATAGTGAATGTTTACCGCTTATAAAGTAAAATATCTGTGAATTCTTAATACTCGCAAGATGGCATCTGGTGTGTTTCCACTCTGTTTTAGGGTCAGGCCAGGAGCCCCAGATCCCCAACACCTGTACATAACCTGGGTTATGGCCCTGATTGAGCTGCCTGGTTACTGAGTGACCCTAAGAATGTCACTGTTCCTTCTAGATCTTGGCCTGACTTCTAGGCGTGCCTGGCCCTCTTCCTTCCTGCAGGCCTCCAAGCAGGTGTCCACCCACCAGAGAGGGCCTGCCCTGTCCAATCTTTCCAAAAGAGCAGACCCTGCCCCAGAGCCTCCTGTGTTACCCTGCTTTACTTATGTCCATGTGACTTGTCCTCCTCGGGATCACCCCCACCTACATCTTTCCTTGTCTCCCCACGGAAGCTCCACATGGAGTTATTTTGTTCACAACTCTGTCCCCAGAGTCTAGAATAGTGCCTGGCACATAGTAGTGCTCAGTAAATGCCTGTTGAATGAATGAACTTAAAGGTCTGTTATTGGAAGGATCAAGAGTGTCGGTCCCAAGTCACAGCTTATCTGACTGATCATCACAAGCACTATGGTGTGGCTGGAAAACTGCAGACTCTGAGGGTGTCACGAACTACAGATAAGATACCCCAGCTTCTCAGCTGGCTCCCTGCTTAGCACTGCATCTTCCTGGATGGGAAGGCCCTCGCTCAGCGTTGAGTCGAATCCGTCTTCTAAGTCTAGCCAGTCATCATCTCCCTCCGTGCCCACACCTCTCCATCCATCCTCATTCATCCGACCATCCATCCATCTATCCATCTACCCAGCCATCCTTCTATCTGCCTACTCATCCATCCATCTGACCATCTGTCTGTCCACCCACCCATCCACCCATTTACCCACCCACCTGTCCCCCTCCTTCATCTCCTCTCTATCACTGTCACCATGTCCCAAGCTCTGTACTCGACACCCCATTTTATGAACTTCTGAGGAGCTTGGTGCCACAGTAGAGAGAACACAGGTTTAACAGCAGCACGTAACCAGGTCCCCGTGCCAGTGTTGCCACCTCCCACTGACGACCTGGCAGAGGGTTGCGTAGGTTAGAGACGTGAGGCCGAGCCCCGCGCCTGGCACGTCCTGCACCCGCAGTCAACGGTAGGGTTGTTTTTAACTCTCAGCACCCAGCAAATGGCTGATCACAGTATGCGGGGTGAAGATGGAAACAATGGAAAGAATGAAACGAAATCACAGAGGGATTAGAAGTTCAGCTGCAGCCAACGCATGCATTGGTCTCCCAGGCACCGTCCCATTCTGCTCAGTTAACCCGCAGTCCTTCCAGGCAGATGTCACTGTCCAGTGTCACAGATGAGGAAACAAGAGCTCAACGAGCTCCAAACCTCTCCCCACCCCGCTCCCCTGTAAGCGGCCACAGTTCCCTTGTGGCTTCGTGGCACAGACTCTCAGTGTCACATCAGGTTCTTTCCTCATTTGGGGAACCCTGCACCTGTGAACTGACTGGGCTCTGGGACTGCGGAGGGACCAGGTCTGCATCTGGGGGTCTAGTCAGACCTCTGTCTACCAGACCTTTCTGGTCATAAAAGCCACAGGTCCTTGTGGGTCGCTCATCCATTCTGCCCTGGGGACCTTGTGACCATTAGCCGCCCCCCAATACCTGCCTGTCAATCCTGGGCAATTGCTGCTGCTACAGGGCCTCTGCTCTCCCAGGGTCTTAGTTTCCACCCCAGACAACTCCCAGATTACTCGGAGGCCTTTGGAGGGCTCTTGTGCCACCCAAAGGTGGTTTGTGCCATCTTGATGAAGGGATAAGGGTGTTTGGGGCTCTCACAGGGGTTGAGTGAGGTGTGGTGGTCGCCTGTAGTTAATTTGCACTCTGTCTCTATGGTATACTTGGCATTTCTGTCGTCTCCACTTCAGTGAGCCAGGGCCACTGCTGAGTCAGGCTTCAGTGCCCCATGCCAACCAACAGACGAGCCCCAGAAAAAACTAGAGCCAACCCCAGCTATGAGGCTGGCACCCCAAAGTCAGAACTGCCAGTTGCAACACTGTATTAATAAATTCCACTCAGTCGAATCATTCACACATTGTCACCAGATTTTTTACAATATGAAATAGCAAAGTTTTGCCCAGATCTTGGTTTGGGTTCTTCTCAATTCTGCCCCATCCTTTTGGTCTGCCCCAGCTGTGGTCTGAAGACACTGAGGGGTGGTGGGCACTTGGGGAGTCATTCCAGAGGCCCTGTTAAGGCAGGACCAGCCTAATCAGACAGTGAGAAGAGGCTCCTTCAGGCTGCAATGGGGGCTGGTAGGGGTTGGGGGTTCAGTAGGTTCAGCATCACCCAAACCCTCCTCTGTGACTCCACGCAAACGCTGAGCTCACCCTTTCAGGCTCAGAAGTCTTGCTTCCACGGGGCACAGCTGATATGGCCACCGCGTCAGCTAATGATGCCGATGGCCATCCTGCAGGCTCAGATTTTGAGTTTCACCTTTGGGTGCACATCCTCAGGGCTGTGAGAATGAAGAGGTATTTTCAGCAAGCATAGAAGTCTCGGTTTCTGACCTGGGTCTTGAGCCAAGAGCTTAGGACTTGGGAGTCGTCTTCTGTTTCTTTAACCGGCCAGCACTGTGAGAATCAGCAGCCCACGCCCACAGTCCAATTCCCGGGCCTTCCCTTCCCTCCTAAGGCTGAGTCTCAGTCTCAAAGCTGTGCCTTCAGTGGGCTCTCCTCCACCCCCAGTGACCCGGGGCAGTGCGTCTGAGTCCCGGTTTCCCCTGCATGCCCCAGGATTCCAGACCCGATCCCTCATTACATGCTGGATTTTACTGTCTCCAGCCTGAGCAGACCAGATAACCCACCCCAGCTTCTCTGAATTTCTTCCAACACCCATTGTCTGCAACCACTCTTGGCACCAATTTCTATATAAGGCAACATTCTTAGTTGCAGGCATTAGAAACTAACTCAGGTGAACTTAAGCAGAAGAGGGTGTTCAGAGAATAGATATTCGAAAGGGTATTCCAAGAATGTCGGGTGACTTATGAGTCATTTGTGAACTGGAGACCTGGGCTGCGGTGTGCAGACAGGTTCAGCGCTCTCGGGCAGCCCATGAGGTCAGCACTGCCAACATCTGCAGGACGCAGCGGCCCCTGCCACCAGCATGCCCCACACCTGCCACCAACACCGGGTACCGCCGCCCTGGCTGCTCCTTTGCGGCACAAGCTCTGTGTTTAAATCTTGGGTCAGGGCATCTGGTTGGTGAGCCCCGAAGGCCCTGGGTGCAAGGAATTAAAGACCATGGGTGGCTAATATTTTTCGTTTCTACAGAGGAGAGTGGTCCGTGGGTTCAAGACCAGTGACGTAGGGTTGAGGGTGGGTGGGCAGAGCAGTGGAGCAGAGCAACAGCCACACGTCTGTCTCCTTCCGCACCGCACTTCTTTCATTTCCTCCAGGCTAGCACAGGATGAGACCTGCCCCTGGCTCTGTCCCCTCCGATTTATTATCTCTACTTGGCCATAAACTTGAGGACAGAGAACTAC